ACCATGAGTGGGGACAGTCCCCTGCAACGTCCTGCTTCGTGACAGGGTTGCCATGGTGAGCACCCATCAAGTGGAAGGAGCCAAGGCCCCTCTACAGCCAATCCAGAGACCCCATGGGGTGCGCTGGCTGCTCCTGAGCCTGACCCCGGCCCCTGGGCCAGCTACATGGGGTAGTGGGTGCTGAGGGGGACAGCGACGCAGAGTCTGCGAAAATAGCAATTTAAGGAACAAGAGACAACCAGCATGTAGGGCTCTTCAAAACCATCTGAGGGGAGGTGAACCGGTAGAGCTTTCGCGTCAAAAGTCTCCTCTCCTCAAGGCTGACCGTTCCCACGCTAGGGTGAAGTCGCTCTTTTGAGTGTGAAAACTCTATTATTATTATTTTTTAATTAAATTCAATTTATTTTTTCCCTTTGTTAATTGTGCTTTGGGGGTCATATCTGAGAAACTGTTGTCTAATCCGAGGTCACAGTGATTTATGGCTATCTCCTTCTAAGAGTTCCATGGATGGGGCTCTTACATTTTGAGTTCTGCATATAGCATGGAGTAGTAGTTCAAATTCCTCCTTTTGTACATGGATATGCAGTTGTCCCAGCATCATTTGTTAGAAATACTTTTCTCTCTCAATTGACTTTTCTCAGCACCCTTGTCAAAGAATCAATGGCTCGGAAATTGTGAAACCATCATTATAGGACCATCTTTCTAACTGGCCAGGAGTTCACTCGCCTAGGAGAAAATGCCCGTTCTTCGGAAGAAGTCATGCTTTATCGACTTGGGGGACTGCAGGACTGTGTCACGTCGTTGACTGGGGACTTGGTTTCAAGAAGGACTGAAGTATGTCCAACTTCCTAGAGTGTGTCCTCAGATGGAGAAAGGGCTCGGTCTGGCTAGACCAGTGGTGAGGGGACATGAGGGAGCGAGGCCGGCCGCGTGCCATCCACATCTGCCCAGCATCCTGTGCTTGGGGCAGCCTTAATGCATGGCAGCTGGTCAGGAATGTTCCAGAAGCTTTTAGCAGGACTCCAGCCCTGCGCCCAGGTCCACAGAGACTTTCTGGGGGTGTCTGTTTCTGGCCACTGTGCCCACTAACTCCGACGGGCCCTACTTGCATTCCCTAGGGAAGCAGGGAGGCCCTATAGTGCTGGCCTCAGGAAGGGTCCATGCCCGCAGTATCCCTTGCTGGGGCTGCTGTCTCCTACCCGGGCTGGACACGTGACAAAGTCCCTGAGAACAAAACGAGAAGCTGATCATTTCTGTTTGACTTAGAAAACAATGGTCCAAATGAAGACTGGCATTGAGAGGCCTGTCTCCCCAACAATTTCTACCATGTAGCCCAGTTCTGCTGGGCATGGGGGTGGGGAACGTCTGGGCCAAGCACAGGAGCTTGATGGACAAGCAGAGCCATTGACAGGGGAGGGATTTTGGACTTGATTCAAAGCCAGGCTAATCAAGTGATCTGGTTTGCTGATAGTCACGACTCGCACCCATCAACCAAGTTTCACTTTTAATCGTGCCCCTGGCACTCTCAAAAAAGTCCAGGTTTGGACAAGTCCCATGACCACCTGACTCCACAGGAGAGAGGAGGTGTGGCTGGGAGCACATGCAGAGACAGGCACGTAGGACATGGGGCTTCAGAGGTGATTTGGAGGAGAAAGGCGGGCAGTGGAGGGCCAGGCTGGCTCACGCGCAGGCCATCGTTGGCATCCAGGCCCAGACGCGCAGAGCGTGGGTGCCAGAAGGGCACTTGGAGTGGCCGAATACACCTCATCTTTCACCAGAAGACACTGGGCTAAAGCAGAGAGCAGTACTTGCCCAAGGCCACACCTGGTTCCTGGAAGAGTAAGGACAGGAGTTGCCCCTGGGCGACCAAGCCCCTAGGACAGAAGAAAAGGGATGGCTCTGAAAGATGCTGCAGAGGATGAACAGATGCCCTGGGCCAGGCAGAGTGCCCCAGGACAGGGGAGAGTCGTGGAGCGTCCTGTGGCTCTGCCACTGAGGAGGGAGGTTGGAGGCGGGGACTCAGACCCTGAGCATGCTGGGCTGTGGGCTTAGATCCAGAGTCACATCGGAGTGATGGGTGGAGCTGCAGGGTCAATGGCTCTGCGGGGTTGTGACCACAAGGGACCCAAGAGATTACTAATTGGCCGATAGAATGAAGAACGCGTGAAGAAACAGGAAAGTGTGGAGATGAAAAGTAAATGGGGTCGAATAAGTCACGTATAGCAGCGGTCTCCAACCTTTTTGGCACAAGAGACCGGTGCTCCTATGAGAATCTAACTCCTGATGAGCTGAGGTGGAGCTGAAGCAGTGATGCTAGCGCTGGGGAGCAGATGCAAATACAGATGAAACCTCACTCGCTTGTCTGCCGCTTACCTCCTGCTGTGTGGCCCGGTTCCTAACAGGTCATGGACCGGTACCCGTCTATGGCCCAGGGGTTGGGGACCCCCGATATACAGAATATGATTAATTTCTACAGTTCAAATAGCAGTGAGATCTTGGGAGAAGATGAACCCTGATGACAGTCTCCCCTTGGCACCTCCTTCCTGGCTCCCGACAGGGCTGTAGGTAGGAGACTCGAAGTCAGTGGCAGCTCTGACTGCTTCTCTATGACTTGGTCCCTCCTGTCCCTTGCATCTTGCTGTGATTGACAACAAGCTACAAGCGACGTCCTGAGCCGGCCACAACAGTGCTTCTGTGGTCTCACCATCATCTTCCCCCAGGGGGGTTCTGGTGTGCCAGGCAGCGGGGTGAATCTGGTCTTCTGGGGGGAGGTCCCAGGAGGAAGCCCAGCCCAAGGGTCCCTAGCCCCAGCCCCGCTGCCGCTGACTCACAGAGCTCCTCCCAGCCATCAGATGAAGGCTGCGGGCCCTGCTGTCTGCGCCGTCCCCGGCTGGGGGTCCTCTTTCCCAGGGGCGCTTTCTCTCGCTCGCATAGAGTGCACCCATGCTAGTCAGGATGAATACTGGTCCCCAGGGCTCAGTCACCTCTGCCAATGTAGGCACGTGACCATTCGCACGCAAAACAGCATTTTTAAAAACATCCTATTTGGTCCAGGTCGCATTTTTGGCCTGCAACCACTTCTCAGCCAACGAGGTTTAGGTGAGTTTGTTGCAGATAATCTTCCAAGTGAATAGCTCTCAGAGTAACTTGCAGGCTGACGGCAGCCACAACCTTGTACTGTCGTCCTGAGCAAGGTCTCCCACATACCAGATACAGAAGTCCTGCACACCACTGTCACCCACATGGTGCTCTCCAATATGTAACATTAAAAAACCCAGTCTCCTGAAAAAAATGACAAATTAGTTTCAGTACATGTGAACTGAGCACACACTTTTGTTCACTGAAACTGCTTTGATGATGCCGGTTCAAATATTTGCAAACACAGAGAGAACGCCTACAGACGCCACCCTGGTTGCCAGGCTCACCGTCTGCAGAAACCAACAGGGGAGGTATAAATACTGAATGTCACCACAGATGAGTACACTCAGACAGTCAGACGCAGGACTAGAGGTCCAGCCCCTGACGCCAGCTCCAGGCTCTGTCCTCTCCATCCACCATGGCCCAGTGCCCTCCAGGCGGGCTCGCCACTACCCTAGCAGCATACGGCTGCCATAGAGACAAGAGACTGGGGACAGGCGGGAAGTAGGGGAAGGATAAGGGATAAGCAAGAAGGTGCAGATGGCAGGAGGCAGTGCTGGACAGGACAGGAAGAAAGGGCCAAAGGCTCTATGTCTCCATCACCTTGAATAGTGACCAGGCCAGGGGGAGGGCAGTAGAGAGGTGAGCATCTGAGACCAAACTGCTGCTTCAAGGCCACTAAAATACAGCCCATACCTGGCAGGAAAGGTTCTTGGTCAGTGGCCCTCAGGGTGGAGAACCAAGAGCTAAGTGTGAAAAACCTCAAAATACCGGGAAAAGCTTATGTGCCTGAATTTATGCCACGCGAGGTTGATGCATTACACCCAGGACTCCGGCGGACCAGGTCTCCCAGAGGAACCCGGTCAATGGGGCATTAGCACGTCCTTGTTACAAGGTTAACATCACCGAAAGCTAAAAGCAAGAAGGAAAAAATGACAGACCAGAAATATCACATCTTAGGCAAACGAGTTGAAAATCCCTTAGAGTGATGCCCTATATTTTCTACCCGTTTCTAAAGTCAGAGGACACCTGGCATGGTGTTTAGGTAGAGAAACGGATTCCTGCTACTCGCGGTTTCCTGAGGGACAGCACTGAGATGACATCATGGAAACGTGTGCCTCCAGGTCAATCTAAGAACGGTTTCGAAGTGAAAACATGAGTCTGTCACGGGTGGAAAAGCGCGTGTGCACCTCCGTGATTTGCTGGTATTTACTGCTTTCTGCCCCAGAGACCGAGTTTCACTTAAAGGCACACAGCTGCTGGCCAGGTCTCCCACTTGGGCTCACCTGGAGGTGCAGCCTGTGTGCAGCTTCCACCCCACCTGTGCTCCTTGGTCATTCAGAAGGAAGTAAAGCCATTGTTACCAAGAAGAAACGGAGTTTGTCTTACACTCAAGGTCAAGGAATCTATGACCTAGGATGCCCTTTCCAGTGGTAAATATTTGTGTCACCATTCCCCATGGTGACAAAAGTGAGGCTCAGGCAGACATAGATCGTATGGAGCCCTCTGTCTTAATTAACAAGTACAGTGAGGGTCATGGAATTTGGCCAAGCCTCATAAATCTGCTAAAAGAATCAAGACTCTGTCACAGAAGCTTAACTAGAACCAAGCGAGCCCTCCTGAGAATTAACAGATCTCTCGCTGGTGGCTGACACCCACTCTCCTGTCACTTTGCAGAGCAACATGGACGCGCCTGTGCTCATTAACCAGCAACCCTCCTCCTACCGATGACAAGTTCATCCCCGCCATGCACAAAATTCAGAGATGATAAATTTGCTGCCACCTACAAAACTAAAGCCCTTCTCTCCTGGGGCAGGGAAACGCCGCAGGCTTCGAGGAGCCCAGGGTGACGGGAGGCCTACCTTCATGAGCAGGGCCCGGTGCTCTGGCTCAGGACAGCGCCTCGCTGCCAAGTAGAACTGCTCCAAGGTAACTGGAAAGGAAGAAACACAGGTGAACAGCTACCCTCACACCTGAGCGCCTCCAGGATGGGGAGGACATGGTGGTCTTTCCCAGGTCATCCAGTAGAGCTGCCTCCTGTCCCCCGAGTGGGGTGGGGCCAGCACACGGTGACTTCTCCACCACCGTCGGCTGGGACAGTTACATCAGAGCACACGACCATTATCATCAGCACACTCCATTCTGAACCACTGGGAGTCCTGGGGTCAGCCACCATATGGCCTTCATGTCCCCAAGGACCACACAATAGCCCCACTTCCCGTGCCGCCACCCAGAGGCCCACCTGCCTTGGTAAGTATGGCCGTGCTGAGTTTTCTTCCCTAGTCGTCCATCATGAGCCCATCCCCTGCCCAGCTTTAAGCTCTCTTTCGGTGTGAACATGATCTGTCCTCCCATGTTGACTCAAACAAACCCCACAAAGTTCCCCAGATACTTAAGTTATGTGTCCCCAGCCATCCTTCTCCCAGAGTGACAGAGAGAAACTCAGGAAGGCTTGCAAAAAATACATTTTAATGATTTGTTTAAATTGGCCACGAAAGCTCTAGCAGTATTAACCTAGACAATTGACACAAGTTACACTCTCCTTCTCCACTTAGGTGGCCTGCTGTCATCAAAAGCCCACCCATGGGAGCACCCTTTTATTGGGGTCTAAAAAAGCCCCACCCACAGATCCTTCACTGCACACGTGTTTCACTTGAAAATGCCCCGAGTCCCTGCTACCCTCAGGTCTAATCCACTTCTCTCGTCAGGCGTAAGGCTTCGACTTGATTTGCCGTCTAGACGAGCCTCTTACCTTTAGCCCAAAAGCTGCACTCACTGTGGACCCATCAGGTCCCCTTAACTGCCGCCTGCGGGGCGCAGCCCTGCCTCTTGGTGTTCAGGTGCAGCAAAGTTTGTGCTCCCTGGAACCCCACAGTCAGCCTACCCACCCTCTCAAAGCCCTTGACTGGAGGGTGCAGCCTAGCACCATGGGGCCTACAAAGGTGGCAGAGCTACCCCAGCCACAAGACTGAGGGACATTCTGAGTCCACCGCTCCGACCCCAAGGAGGTCTGGATGTCATGTGTAACAAATGCAGATGTTTTAACAAGAATGGTATCAGCGGCAATGAATCCTCACCAAGCCAGCATCATCTGGGTCATTTTTTCGTGGTTTCCAGTGTTACCCATAAGACACAATCCTTCACGTAGAGTTCAGCTAGGACTGAATCAACTGTGGAGTCTTAACTGTCATCAGTTGTATCTGTGCCGAGTCTAAAGTTTTGCTCTTACGCCATCAAAATGCACTCAGGTTCGGCACGGGGATCGGCTTTGCCAGCCTTGCATGTACACATCCACCCAGCCACTGACTGGCTAATGCCAATATTGGTTACACAGACTCTTAAAAGTATTTTTTTTAATTAAGATTTTTTTAAAGATTTAAAAAGAATCGAAGCATGATACTTTGCCCAGAAAAGGGGCTCAACGGAAGCGTCCACAAACACACTGGCCTCATCCATTGAGAACACATCAGCCCGTGAAAGAGCCTGGAAGCCATGATCCCATCTCCCTGGACACCGTCACTGAGTTTTTGCTCTGATGTCATTTGGTGTGACAAAATATTAAACTCCGACTATTGCCAGAGTAAAGAACAACCTGCAAATTCATTAGATAATCTTTTAGAGGGTGGCTTTCATTTGGTGAAGGTTTGTGCTATGACTGGCCATGGAAGTCCAAACACTTGCCACTTGCCGCCTCAGAAGACTGCTGGACATGCCCCTCTCTGTGAAGATCCCACCTCCATGCCTCCAGCTGCCTGTAACTGGACTCCACGGTGACAGTTTGAGCTGTTCACGAGACGCGGCTACCAGTCGAGCAGCTGTTACCTAGAAATCTACACATCCGATCCAAACACATCATCAGCCTCCATGCCGAGCCTACCTGTTCATGAATCTTCCCATTTCTGTGTTGCTGTCACCCTGCAGCCACCAGGCCTGCATCTTTGATTCTCCCCTCACGTCCCCAAGCCTGCTGACCATCCTCGCACGATGTGTTCAGCTGTACCCCTTTCCAAACATGATGCCACTTCCACTCTGCAGAACCCTTCCAATCTGATGCAGGACCTCAATGTCCAGTCCTCCTCTCCCAAGACCTTGCCCACTGCTGCCGCTATGGGAAACCTGGCACCACTAGCACCTTGCACACTTGTCCTCACCTCCCCACCGCAGCCCCTCCTCCCTGGTGCAAACCAACCTCTCCGGAGTCTCCTCACAATCACTAATTGGTCCTCAGTTCACGCGATCCCCTCCATGTCACCTTCCCTTCTGCTCAAATCCCGCTTCACTCCTGGGCATGGCTGGTGGGGTGGTCGGACAGAGTGGACTTGAAATTGTCACTCTGCTACTACCAGCCGCGTCACGTGTCTTTGGACGAGTCACACCCTCTCGCTGAGCCTCAGTTCCCTCATCGGTCCCATGTGGAGACCGGGGCCTGCCCCCTGGCTGGCAGGGGGTGAATGGAGAGGCCGTGCACCAGTGTGCAGCGCCTGGCATGATATCGGCACCCATCTATCTGTATATCTTTAAGAAGCGTTCTCTGACTCCTCCCGTTAGTCACACTGACTTCTTTCCCATTGGTGTCTTCCTGTGACACATACGCAGTGGGTTTTTCTTTTTAAATTGTCCTTGGATTTTAGGTGTAGATGCTGGCCTTGTCTCAGGGGTGAGACTATGGGCTCCGGAAGCCAGCCTGTGTCCTGGCCTGGTTGCTGTTCTACACTCACTGAGTCCAGAGTGCTCAGTCACCACTGGTGTTGCGGAACTGGACCACAGTGCGTGAGTGTGGGCCCACAGGCGCATCTCCCCTTTGCTGGCTAGCTGGGCTGCGCGAGCAGCACCTCTTGCCCCCTCTGCAGAGAAGCAAAGCCATCCTCTCACTGGAGGCCAAGCAGAAGCAGGGAACCTGATTCCAGGTCCTCCCCTTGCGTCTGAGGCCAACGGCGGTGTGCCTCTCTGCCACCACCTTGACCTCCACCACGCCCGGAAGTGGAAGAGGCACAGTCACCAGGCAGGTCCTCTCTGTCAGTCATGGCCACTCTGCCCATGAGGCCAAGGTGGTCTCGTTCACCAAGACCCAGCTGGCATTTCCCTCCCCACTACCTCTCCCCTCCCTGATTTAAATGGGGAAAAAACACTCAAAACGAAAGCGTATGTGGTATCTGCTTCGCTTTTGCTGCTGGGTCATGGCTGGCTGCTGAATGAGACACAGCATCGCAGAACCCAGGCCCGGCTGGCACTGTCTTACCTGCTCTGCGTGCCCAGTGCCACTCATTTCGGTGGGGAAGCAAGGCTTCCACCTACCTGAGTCTACTGTTCTTAGGTCTAACCTTCCCACCTCTGTGCTACAAGGTGGCCTGACAACAGAGGAAGAACAACAGACTTATAGATGACAAGTGGCTCTGAGATTGGGGAGGGAGGTGAGGGGGAGGCACAGAAACAAGGACCTGGTTGAGGAAAAAAATGGTGATGTAGGAGAAAAACACTGCAGGCAGCATGAAGTACACGTGTCTCCCTGGAACATCAGCTGAGGTGGTCTGCACTCAATCGTGTACAACAGCCCCCTCCCCGCAGCCACTTCGGAAAGGGACACAGGATTTTGTAACACGAGAGACAAAAAACTCAAGGAAATGGGCATTCCCAGAGCAGCTTCCATTAGGACATGGTGACGCATACACAGGTGGGGTGAGATGGACCAAACAGGGCATGGCACTTGGCCCTCTTTGAAACCTGGCTGCTGAGATTGGGGAGCCCTCATGCTTAGCAGGCAGAGCTGACTTTGACATACGGCACAGAGGGCCGAGTGTTCAGAAGTCCTGTCTCAGAATATTCTTTCAGCTTCTCTCGATCCCTGTGACAAGTCCTTGGGAAACAGAGGATCTGCTGAGGTGCTAAGCTTTAGCAAGGCTGCCCTCCCTCCGGCTGCAGCCTTCCCTGTGCATCATGCATCGTGCAGGTGCCTCTCTGGAGCCCGCTCCCACCTCTCCAGGCACCAGGGTGCACTGGGCATGCCTCCCCTGCCCAGACTCCTCAAGCCTCTTCCTTGGGAATGTGCTCCTCCTGGTGTAGGCACCGCTCACTCAAGGGTGGCCAGGGGAAGCTATTGGCGGGATATAGACAGACGCTGGGCGTCAACCCTGGAGGATGCACACAGTAGTGGCGGGGCGGGGGGGCGGTGTGGGGGGAGCTGCGGTGGGAAGGAGCAGGGCAGGCAGGGAGGCTTGTCTGCGTACACTGCATCCACACACTTCCAGAGTCTGAAATTCAAACCCGGGCTTCCGAGTGGACGAGGCCGCATATGCCCAGACAGGAGGGTCGGGTGTGTTCTCTGCACACCAACTAAACCTGTCCCGTGCTCCTGCCATGGGCCCCACTGAGCAGAGCAGGCCCATGCTAGGGAAGGAAGACGAGGCGCTGGAAGACAGGTATGTCCAGGCCTCTTCAAGGCCAAGCCCTCTGCCCACCCTTGGAAAGAGGAAGCCAGGTGTCCAGTCTGGCAGGAGATGAATGTCTTTGCCCCATGTGCTGACCTTGATGATGGGTGAGGGACCAGCAGAAGTCTGGAGGCCAACACGCACACCCAAATGGAAGGTTCCAGTGAGATGAGCAGGTCGAGCACTGCGCTCCAGGGGCAGTGTCCTCTCTTGCTTAGGTTCCCCGACACCAGGGACGCAGGTTCCATATCCAGGACCTTGGGAGCCCTGAGGGTCAGGTTCACTTGTGCTCATGCCTGAGGCTCCCAGCTAGGACTCCGCTTACTCTGTGCCACAAGGTAGAACTCATGGTGGCTATCCCTCAGCCTTCTCTTCTCCCCTGTGTGTGACAGCAGTGCCCTCAGCTCATTTTGCAGAACTGTCACCCCAGGCTTCTGAAGTCCCCCACCCACCTCCTCTCCTCAACAACAGGGAAATGTTGAGAGAGCATGCGGGCGACACAAGTGCT